CCTTTGGACTTATTCCATATCATCAATTGCACGAGACTCCCGTTGCCTTTGCTCTTGAAATGGCAAGTGGCCAGGCCATGGTACTGGAAGTAGCTGTTGATCTCTGTTGTCTGGGTTAGGGTTAATCACAGCAGCTTGCTTCCTTCAGTGCTGAATCATCAAGGGAAAAAATGTAAGCTTGGCAGTAAAATATGTATGTGCTGCATTGTAGATTTTCAAGCTTGCCTTTGCAAATTGAAACCATAAGCGTATATTATAGAGAGGGCTCAGAAAGCTTGAAATGGCTTTTCTCCTCTTCAATAAGTTATTTTATCCATAATCTTAAATAGAAACTGTGCTACTGAAAGGACTTTTGTAGCTTTGATGGAATAGCTAGAGTACAAAAATAAACATAAAAAATTGAAAAGGCTGTTCTGGGTCAGGAAGAAAAAGGTCTCTCTGCACCAACCTATCCATGGATGTGACTTTGAGAGTGGGCGATACTGTTTTCCTTTGAGACCAGGGGAGCCTCTGCCCAAAAAATAGAAGAGGTTTAGACTCTTTCAAGCACAGAAGAAACAGCAACTGAAGCCTGACAAGTGAACCAGGAACTCTTTGTATATCATCACCTGTCATTTCTCTTATGAAAATGAGAAAGGGAGTGGCTGAATTCTTCTGGCATTGCCAGAGCTTAGAGAAAATGAGCTATAATGGGTGGGGATGGGGATTTGCTGGTGACTTCTGTGTGCAGAGACCTAGGACTGTGGGTGCAGGGCTGCAGGAACAGAGAGTAAAGCTGCAGCTTGGGAGCTGGCCTTGGAGAGTTTCCTACCACTGGCTCTCCAGGCAGGCAGGCAGGCAGGCTCTGGCCCAGCTACGTGTATTCACACTTATTTATATAAGCACACATACTAGAGAATTATCTTTGGCCCTTGCAGAGCTTCACACTCCAAAACATATGTAAGCATTGGCATTAGAAAACATTGGGAAAGTCCAAACACCACATCAGCACACATACATGTATAAGACTGGCTATAAAGCAAGGTATGGTATAAACCAGACCTTTTCTCTCTTGGTTTTATGTACATTGGCTCCTGATAACCTGAAATCTCAAGCTATTTCACTCCTGGCTGTTTACAAGCCAGAGCTGTGTCTGATGTATGGGTCATATGATAGCTTCCATGATGGGGAGAGGTAGTACAGTATGGGCAGAGCTGGCCTCTGACAGCAGAAAAAGTTGCATAGATAGAGAGAAAACAGCATAAAATGCTGCAAAACTGTGAGGCTTAGATCTAATTTTAGACTTAGATCTAGGTGTAGGACCCAGGAGCAAGGAGTCAGTTTTGCTAATGAATGAGTAAATATTGATAACCGATTTTGTAAGGGGCATCCTGGGTCACAAACAGTGGAAAAGCTTTATCCACTAAGCAGGGGATGTTGCAGATTCACCCCTGCTTATCACATACTGAGATGAATAACTTCAGTTGCCATGGAAAAGATTTATATGGGTTTGGGTTCCTCATCTAAAAAATAGATTTATCCTCTTCAGTCAGCATCTTTGTTAATGAGTAATAGCCATGTTGTTTAATAGATTGCCTCTCCCTCTGTAAGAATGGTTAAAACATGCAAGTGTAGAAGCCAGGTAGCAGACAGTATGAAACCAGAGCTGCTTTTACCTCTTCTGTGTTAACATCTCCTGCTCACAAAAGGATCCAGTCCTCTGGTGAACCCAGGGATAGCTACGACTTAGCAAAATTTCATGTCTCTTCCATCGGCTATCCATTTCTCCCCGATGCCTTCCTTCTGGCCAGCTGGGTAGAAAGAGGCATCTGCTAAATGTAGCAAGTCTGCTGCTACTCAGAGAGCTGGAGCAGGGACAAGCAGCAGCACCTTGTCCAGACCCCGCCTGCTGCATTTCCTCTTCGGTTTCCTCTGCTTGTTCCAGCGTGTTCCCAGAACACCTTTTTGCTCCAGCTGAATAAGCAGAATCCTGAGACACCATTGAGAATGGGCTTGTGCCACACTGATGGCTATAACACTCCTGTACAGCAAAAGAAGTCAGGGAGATTGCATGCACCTCAGTTTCGATATTTGATCATTGCATATCAGAGATGGAAACAAAAGGGACATTTGTAGCTTGGTCCCAGAGCCAGCAGAGGGCAAAATGCCTCATACCTTTGAGGAAATGTGAGCAGATGTAGAAAGACCATTCATACTCCCCAAATGCCCCATGAAGAGCTGTGCTCAACACACAGGACCCTCTAGACTAAAATAATAGCTACAGTATATTCATTTTCTGATCAGGAGAGAAAAAAAAAAGGTGTCAAATATTTCTCATCCACCCTTCAAAGTAATGAAGGGGATTCATTGCTAATGACGCAGATGATAAACAGAGATAGCGTCACTTTGCTTGTTGGGACGTGGCTGAACTCAAGCCAGTCCCATCCACACCATGTTTTCCCCTCTGTATGGAACATTTGACTGGCTCCAGACTTGTGTCCAAGGCCTCTGAAACGTGGGTGTGATGGCGTTAGGATATAAGACTGTCCAGATTCAGGAGGTAGTGACATCCAATTTTATCAGCAGGATTAATTGCTGGAGCTCTTACTAACAAGAGATCACTCTTTCCCAAATAGTGTTATACAAAATGCTATTCCTTGATTAACCCCAGATGTAACACTACATGCAGTATCTGGCTGAGATGAAGCTTTTTTAGAAATGTCTTGACCTTAATAACTAACTCACAGAGGGGATTGTGCCTAGCTAGGGGAAACACTGAAGTCCTATAACGGAAGGCACTGTTGATGAACCAGGTATTATGTAATGCAATTAGCATAATGTACTGAGCCAGGAAAGCAGTATGTATGGATATCATTTTTTCCAGCTTGCTGCTTACCAGAACTTGTTGGTGTTGGAGGTGCACTGTTTCTGCTAGTTCTGATGCCTCATTTATTTTATGAGGTAATGTGGCTCAATTACAAGTCATAATATAGAACCAGACTAATTTCCAATTCAGTGTCCATCTCCAAGATAAAACCCCAGGGTTAATTTAGTTCTCATTACAATGACTTTATTTTGGCTAAAGAACGATCAGCTCATTAGCAACACATATGCAGATGATTACAGTTAAACAAATATGCCAGGAGTAGCAGTTTAAGCTCTCTTTAGCAGCAAAAAAAAGAAAACATAATGAATTTGGTCTTATGAGGACAAATACCTGATTCAAAGATGAACAAGAAACTAGATGCCTGTCCCCCCCAGTGAAAGCTAGGAGAAATAGCAGCAGAGCTAGATTCCCAGTACATCATAAGAAAAGTTAACCTGTTGGTGCTGAAAAAACTTGCAGTTACTGGCTTAGCTCCTATGAGGTACTGGTGAAAACAACTCCAATACCTTGGTAGCAATATTTTTCTTTAGTTGCCAGTATTGGAGAAGGACAATATAAAATCATTGGTTATTGGAAGAAAAAGAGGCCTCTCCTGAGTCATCAAACCATGTTCCTTCAGAATCAAGAGAGCTTCATTTATTTGACCTAGTAAACAGAAAGCTGAGGAGATCTGATTGCTCTTTGCAAGCAGGGGGTGAAGGAATGCACCAGGGAACACAGAGAGCTATTTAAGCTGAAGGACAATGCTGGCACAACACCACATGGACATAAACTGGCCACAAATACTTTCAAAGAGGAAATTAAAAGGCAATTTCTAGCCATTAGAAGAGTGAGCTTTTGGGGAGGGAAATAATTAGTTTTAAGATGTTATTAAAGGATGATAAAATGCAGTTGCTGGAGATAGGATGAAGTAGGATGGGGAAGAAACAAAGTCCCCTCATATCTACCAAAGGCTGAGTTGCTTTACAAGAAAGTTACAGATGACACCATTTAGGACCAACACATTTTTTAGTGGAGATCGATAAGACATCTTGTTATGTATGGAAGGACTCCTATGGAGTTTTAGACTAAACAGATTGATAAGGACCCACATTTTGATTAGTGAAATTTCCTAGGCACCGAAGTTACAGTTTTTAGGCATGTCTAGAAATATTGGCCAGTTGTCAGGGCTGGGCTCAACACCTTTTTCAAACACAGGCCTGACTTCTTACAAAACCACATTTCAGATACATTGTCAAGTCCTCCCTTTTTAAAGTGGATCAAGGACTGGCTGGTCAGGGGACTTGCCTGCCATGCCCTGTACCTGATCCCTGCAGTCTTTCCTGTCTTATTAAACTCCATTTCCAACTCTTTCCCTGGGTGAGGGTATTGCTTTTTGTGCATGTGGATGGGGGTGTATGAGGTTCCTCATGCCAGCAACTGGTGTGAGACAGTGGGTCGGTGGGGCTTGTGTGCCCAGGGCTCAGCAGTTGGAGTGATCAGAGTGTGTGTGCCTTGTGTGTATTTGTCAGTGTGTGCCATTGCTAGCAAACACCAAGCTGGACTAGCAGTGGACAGGACAAAATATATGGGAGATGGATATCTGAGGGACTGTAATCCTGGGCTAGATACTGACAAGACCAGAGGGTCTCATTGGATACTTGAGGAATCAGGAGGTCCAAGCCACCTATTAGGAAGACCAAAGTGTCTGGGGCTTGGCTAACAGTGAGACCCTTGGTCTGGACCAGCTGCCAGAGGGACTGATGTGTGTGTCAGCACATGAGGCAACCAGTAGGTCAGTGTATCCAGGGGCCAGCTACTGGGAAACAGCCTAATTGCTCAGGTTCCGGTGTGTCTGTGCTGAGCAACTGGAGGGATTCACCTGTACTTCTTTTTCATCGATGGTATTTCATCCTGTTTAACCAGAAAGGGGAACAGGATGATGCTTTGTGTTTGTCTGTACTGCATTTTCTCTTTGTATATATGTGTAATACATGCCTGCTGGGAATATCTGCTTGTCCCTGGTATGTCTGGACCTCAGGACACAGAGCTTCAGCAGCCTCTGTGGGGATACCAGATTGGACAACTCCTAACACCAGGGAGGTACTATGTACACCTGCCCTGTAATGATTTTTCTTTTCCTCTTTATTTGCAGGTCAATGCCAAACAGTACGGAAAGGTATGATGTGTCTTTGCTCGCTCTTTGTGGAGAAGCTCAAAACCTTAAGTCTTTCTTCATTATTTCTTTGCAAGTATTCTAATATTGGTGCTCTGGTAGGTCTTGTTACAAGAGAAATGTACTTTTACACGCAATGTAGGATTTTGCTGCTGTGACAATGGCATTTGTTACCAATCAGAGCCATTATCAAGAGAAGGAGGCTCAAATATAGACCAATTACTATAATAGCCAGTAATTTTATGAAGAGACATCTTTCTATTACTCCCTTTTCACCTCTGAGTTGGCTGAAGGTGTTACCAGCACTTAGCCTTCTCAAGAACTCCTAACCTGATTTCTTAAAAAGTAATCACATTTATGGGTCTGCTTGTCTGTGAGTTAAGTCCCAGAATAACTTTTGATCCTTTTGGGCAATTTCAATCAAACTTCACAGAGGGCCTGCAGTTTCAGAGATATTAAAGTCTACAAATTTTGTGAACCCAAGCAGAGAAGAGAGATATCTTACTGGTACATTCCTCACTAAAAAAAATAAATCTATATGATATCACACCTCATTAGTGAATCCATATGATAAGGGAAAAGACTGATATCACAAATACACTTTCTTTCAGGAATCTGAGTTTTTCTCATGTTAGACAACAGCAAATTTACACCTCAACAGAGGTTTTTTCTCTCAGGACTTTAATAAACTCAAATTGTATTTGTAATTTAAATCAAATAAGATTTAATTGGAAATTAAATTGGAGAGACACAGATTTCATGGGTGTACCACTCAATGGATAAGGAACTGGATGGATGTTCACACTCAGAGGTGCAGTCAATGGCTTGATGTTCAGGTGGAGAGCAGTGATGAGTGATTTTCCTCAGGGGTCAGTACTGGGACTGGTGTTGTTGGTGACATGGGCAGTGGGATGAAGTGCATCCACAGCAAGTTTACCAATGACACCAAACTGTGTGGTGAGGTCCACACACTGCAGAGAAGGGATGCCATCCAGAGGGAACTTGACAGGCTTGAGAGGCAGGTCTGAGCAAACCTCATGAAGTTGAACAAGTGCAAAATCCTGCACCTGGGTCGGGGCAATCCCAAGCCAAATGCAGGCTGAGTGGAGAATGGATTGAGAGCAATCCTGAGAAGGACTTGGGGGTGGTGGTTGATGGGAAGCTCAACATGACAAAGCAATGTGCACTTGCAGTTCAGAAAACCAAAAGTATCCTGGACTGCATAAAATGCAGGCCAAGGGAGATGATTCTGAAGGACATCTAAATGCATTAAAGCATTTGCAATCAATCTCTAGACCACGCATGCTTCTCATCATCTTTCTATATGTTGTTTTAGACATGAAAGTCATTTGAGAGTACTGCAAACTGCTTCCAGCCTATCTGAGAACAAAAGGAATAAGTTCATTGAACGTGGTATTTGTTATGTTGTCTTTGAACTATTCAGAATGTCTGTGAAGTAAGTTATTTTTTCTCTGTTCATCTCCCTTTTACAGCAAAATGTGTGGATATTGCCTTAAGTTCTTGTACTGATGTTGCCTATACTCAAATGGTGTATCCCAATTTTCTGGATCAGAAGTCTCGAGAAGTGATTGAGTACAGCTCTGAGTACCTGCTCATCAGTGTGCTGCACAACTTGCTCCAGGGAGAATGTAATCCTGACCTGAGGCTCCTGGGCTGCTCAGTGCTGGCCCCACAGTGTGAAAAGGACAAAGTTATAAAGCCCTGCAGGCATGTCTGTGAAAACCTAAAAAAAAATTGCCTCCCTGCCTTTGATGCAATAGACATGGCTTGGCCCTACTTCTTAGACTGCGACCGCTTTTTTGCTGGGGAAGAAGAGGGATGTTTTGACCCACTGGCAAAGCTGCGAGGTGAGGAAGGAAGCTCTGCCAACAGATCTTGTCTACATGGGAAGGGTCTCATCTCACTTTTCTTGACATATCTATGGCACAAAACCTCTTTGCTTGTCATCTCAGCTTATTGTCTTTAGAGACACCTGTGTGATTCATTTTGTTCCACCTATTTTAAACACCTAATTAAACTGTGCTCAAGAAATATCTGTTTCTCTCTTCATTTACAAAGAGATCAAGACAGGCAGCTCAGAGCAAGATGTTTGGATGCATTTAGATAAACCCTGTCCTGTGTGATAGCTGTCTATATATTTGAAATATTTTATTTTAAAACTGAAACTTTAATGCACTCATGATTTTTTGACTGCTTGACAAGCTTAGCAGCTCATTAAAGTGTTCTCATTAATGATTGTCACAGATTTTTGTTTGGATGAAGAAAATCCAGATAGCTGAAGACAGATGAATCTCATAAAAAAATAAATTTGATCCATCAAATTCAAAAGGAAAAATCTGTACAATTTGTGACTAAAATCTGCCAGCATGCCAAAGGCCAAATTAAGACTGGAGGTTTCACAAAATATTTGTCAGTGTGCATATGCATTAGTAGGATTTTGAAAACAAAATATGCCACAATAAACAGTGTAAGATGTACTACATACATTTAAGGTTTTGATTGTGTCTGTATTTTCTATAATTCTTCTACTTATAAAGGTATTTTGCAAAAAAGTGCAGGCTTTCATGCAACCCTCTGAGCACTATGGTCTTAAACACTGTGTTACAACTTTTCTTTGCAGGAGAAGTAGATGTTGAGGAAGATTTGCCTTCAAACTTGCCAGCAACTTTTATTCAGTTCAAACACCATTCATATTCCCAAATGGTGAGCACGCTGAAGAAGACTGCTTCTAAGTGCTCCCAGATTGCAACAACTTACAGCATAGGTCGCAGTTTTGAAGGGAAGGATCTTTTTGTGATTGAGTTTTCAACCAAGCCTGGACACCATGAACTGCGTGAGTTACATCAGTGTTGATCAGGTCGCCTGAGGGGAGACCATTCTATCCAAGTGAAAACAAGTTCTTTTAATTGGATAACACTAAAACTGTAAAAAGCATTTGTTCAAAAACATTTCTTCTCTCTTGTATTTCTGAATTACAGTGATACCCAATGATTCACTGTAGCAACTACAATCCGGTAGCCCAGTAGCAATTTCTAACTGTTATGACCTCTGTGTATGACCCTGGTTAGTATTCCTTGCTCCTAGATGCATGTTACTTGGTTGTAGGGGAGTTATTTGGCTGTTATTTGTTTGTGCCCAGTGTACAAATAAGTTGGGATAGTCTTCGGTTACTCACTTGCCCTTCCTATCATCTACCACTTCCTCAGTCTCCCTTTATTTGTCACTGTACCATGAAACCCCCTCACTCTTCCTACAAGCAAGGCCTGTCCCTAGTCTAAACACGGTCCTTCACGTCCCAGAATACTTACATCTTCTGAGAAGGCCTCAGATACAGAAGGACATTGATATCGAAAAAGGACAATCCAGCACCAAAAAACACTGCTCCTGAACAGAGATTCAGGTCAGTGCAATACCTGTCAGTGTAACAGGTGGATGATACCAGGAATTTATGACATCATAGCACCTGAACAGATGCTGTTATACTGTATATAGGTGCTAATATGTATTAAGATATGAATCCCTGAAGAGGGGAACAGTGATGATCTCTATTTCCTGGATTCATCACTGAGACAGTAAGGGCCAGATTTTTAAATGTTCTAAATTCTTCAAAATTTGGATAATTTTCTTAGGGAGTATTAGGTGTTGCTTTCCAGCTACCAGCTCCCAGCTCAAAAATCATACCTGACTAAATCTGGTGGATTGCTATGGGCACTGCTGCATACTAAGAGCCTCAGGTTGTTTTTCATCAGAAGAGCTCCAGCATCAACAGAACCTCAACAGTGTGGTAGAACTGAACTACATCTGACTTAATACTTTATTGAGATTATCATCTCAGGTCAGGCTACTCTGTCCTCTGTGTGCTGTGCTGCAGGGGATGCAGAGACAGCAAAGACTGGTATCTTTTTTTACTCTTGCTGCCTTGCCTGGTGTAGAGGTGTTTTGAGGTGCCTTTAGACTTGATCAGTTCCTGGTAGATGTCTTTAACAGAGCAAAGATCTACATTACATTTTTCTGGCCTATCATGCTTCCTCTCTTTTTTAAAGAAAAGAAGTTGCAGGTGTCTTTTTAAGCTTATACTCCATTTACCAGGAAAACACAAAGTCTATGAATCAGGCTTTTAAATGAAAACTGTGGTATGGCATGATAAAAGATGGTACTTAGCCATTACATCCATTACATTACCCAGCATTTTTCTTCTAAATCTCTTGCTTAATGCTGCTCAGGACAGCCTAAAAGGAGGTGGAAATAGCTCCAGAGCTGAAGATTTTGCCAGTCTGAGCAACTGGCATAATAGCTCTGTACCAGGCTCCCTCCAGTGTCTAGTGCTCAAGGCTGGCCAGGATCAAAGGCAAATATGAAGGGGTAGACAGGAAAGAGTGTCTCCAAAGTGCAACTCTTTTCTACTTTCCATTAGTCTCCAAGGAAGGATGGAAATTGAGAGAATAACTGCAGGGAATTGTGAAAATATGTGTTTCTAATAGTCTCATTCAAAGGCTATTTAGCCTGAAAGCCACTTTTTATGCACGACTCAATTTCTGTTCCAAATAGAGGGGTGATATATTACACATCTGCAGGTCATTTGTAGGATCTGTGACAAAATTGAAGCCATCCAAGGTAAGCGAGAGTGCCAGGGGTATATTTTGTTCCTTCCCAGCCATGGCATTCTTGTTTACAATTAATGATGAGTCCAGCAAAAGCTGAGAGCAATGATTGCCTCTTATGGTTTGCGATACTGATAGATTGGACTTAACTTTATTTTGCACTTTTTAAACTGTTGCTGAACTGATGCGTAATAGAGAGAAGTTCACCTGGAACTGATGTGCTGTTTACAGGATAGTGTGCATGAAATTAGTGTAAACAAAAGTTTCTGATTCATAAGTAAACTATTTGGGTTGCTCTGTTTTTGGAAGCCACCCAGGTATAATCAAATTAAAGTATCTCATTGCTTCATGTTCCACAGTCAAGCCAGAATTTAAGTACATTGGCAATATGCATGGAAATGAAGTTGTGGGGAAGGAACTTCTAATATACCTTGCACAATACCTGTGTTCGGAGTATCTTCTTGGGAACCCTCGCATCCAGACCCTGATTAATAACACCAGAATTCATCTCCTGCCTTCACTCAACCCTGATGGGTATGAACTAGCTGCAGAAGAGGTAAAAGGTTTTGTATAAGGAGGTGTTCAGGTCTTCATGTTTCTAGAATTCCCCATGGGAAAGGACAAACTGGGAGGGGAGTGTCACATAAAGGAGGGAACGTTAAAATCAGCAACCAGAATCCCAGCTGGGTTTGGTGGTGGGTTGCTTTCCAAAGATGATGAGAACAGAAATAAAAGGAAATCACAGCCATATTTGTCATTTTTGCTGCCTGCATGGGATGATGTGGGAATGACTGTGTCACTTTTTCACACATTTAGCACCCTGCAATCAGTTCTAGAACAAAATGCCTTCTGACTCACTGTAATGACTTAAATTGTTTTATAAGGAAATGTAGCTTAATACCATGGAATAGATGTTCCCCCTGTTTTAGAAGTACAGGTATTATGAACTGTGAATATTTTCTGTACTGTCCCAGTTTCATAATGGATGACAGTTTTCAGAGATAACTAATTTCTGAAGGAAACCTGTGAAAAAAATTCTGTTATATGTTACCTGACGCTCTTATTTTTTTCATCTCACTATTTTCATTACCACCATAAGCATGAAACTAGACTTTTCTTTTTCTGCTTGCTCATTTAGTGAAAGTCTGGGGTTATTGCACTCTGCCTGATCCTGTCTTGGGGCATCACCTGTATTTTCTTTTTCTCCTCCTCTAACCCACTCTGCATGCTGCTCTGTGCTGAGCAAGAAGATGCTGTGTTCTTCTTGTGAGTCACATCACTGGTGAGTGAAATGCTTCTTGAATGCTAGTTAGTGCATTAATATTCATGTGGACAAAAAGTGATTAATAAGTGTGATTTTTTTAACAATACAGACATTTTCAGTTTACTTCTTTTAAAACTTCCCTTTGACTAAAATGTCATTTTTAACAATTTCCATAAAGTGCTATTTCGAGACAGGAAGTTAATCTGAGGTTGACTTCTGTGTTACAAATTAGGGAGCTGGTTACAACGGATGGGTCATTGGACGACAGACAGCTCAGAACTTGGACCTGAACAGAAATTTCCCAGATTTGACATCTGAGGCTTACAGAAGAGCTGGCATTCGTGGAGCCCGTCTGGACCACATCCCCATTCCACAGTCCTACTGGTGGGGTAAGGTATGAATTACAGATTTTATAAATCATATATACTACAGAGCAACTCAGGAATTAAGCAACTAAGAATGCTTGGTCTGAAGTTCCTTGCTGGTAATCTATAAAATGCTGATTTTATAAGTACTACTGAACTGGACAGGTTCAGAATTGGCATGAAAATCATGGTGTAGGTCTGGACAAAGAGGCAGGTCACACAAATAATTCATAAAATTTGCGGATAATTTGAATTTTGTTATTTTAGATTAAGAATAATAACTGTTATGAGGGGGCCACAAGTGTATGATGACTCATTATTAGTGATTTAAAGTGTGGTGCACATGTTAAGACTTTATGGATTTGGCTGTCATTGCAATAAGCTCTACACAGGTTTGATGCAATAGTGGTTTCTGCCTTGGAAAATGTACAAAGGCTTCATGTAAAGTTGTGTGGCATCAGAATCCATAAAAAGGGTGTTTATAGGAGAGTGAAACCAGATAGAGCAACAGAAACAGCCTGTCAGGCTGCAATGGTGCTGGAAGTGAAAGTTCCTGCTGCAGGATAAAAGTGGGATGGAGGCAGATCTACAGGGCCTTGCACTCATCATCACTAAGCTCTATTTCACGTTATGTCTAGGAATATAAAACTCAATTCTACCCGTGTCGCTCGCAGCCCCCAACACTAGCAACTCTCAATAGAACTTAGTTCCCCTTGAAAGTAGAATCACAGGAAGCTAAATCAGTAGTTCTGGTATTGAGAGCTCTGCTTTCCTTCTGCTTTTAAACCCATTTTATTCTAATTCAATTTTATATTGCTAGCACAAAGCCTCAGTCAGGTGGTGAACAGGATTGTTCAGCAGGTGGTGTGTTAGCAGAAGATTTGAGAGACCATACTTCAGGTACCTACTGTGCTGCAAGTGGTCTTGTGTAAAGCCATGTCTAAATCCCAAAGGCATCCCTGATGCTGCCACAGCATTTTGGTACCAGTTCATAGTAGTGAAATCTGAATAAAAGCATATCACTTCCTCAGGATAATGTGCATATGAGGATGCAAAGCTTGAGAGGCTCGGTATAGCATAGAGTATTAAGACCACTGATTTTTGACATAACTAAGCTCAAAAAGTTTATTCTGTTTTATGCATGTAATCACACAGATCCCAGCTCATGTCACCGGGTTTCTGCATGAGTGTAAGGTCACAAACTTGAAAGATTTCAACTTTTGACTCAATAATGACGGATAATCATGAGCTGGGAAGTGCAAGTGGGGTACAGAGTCTCAGATGGGAAAGAAGGATTGAGAACTGTGGAGCAGAGCCTGAGATCAGCTCCACAGATAAAAAATGAAAACAGACAAAAAAGCAAAAAGAGGATTTTTGGAGAAAAGTCAGAGATTTTGATTCACCTCTGTGGTGAATCACTTCTCCCTAGCTGGATGTCAGGTGCCCACCGAAGCCACTCTATGACTCCCCTCCTCAACTGGACAGGGGAGAGGAAATATAACTAAAAGCTCATGGGTCATGATAAAGACAGGGAGACATCACTCAGCAATTACCATCATGGGCAAAACAGTATCAGTTTGGGGAATTATTTATATTTCTTCTATTTATTATGAATCAAATCAGAGTAGAGTAATGAGAAATCTTAAAAACACTTTTCCCCTACTCTCCATTCTTCCCAGGCTCAATTTTACACCTGAATTCTATATGCCTCCTTCCCCTCAGTGGTGCAGGGGGACTGGGAATGGTGGTTGTGGTCAGTTTATAGCATGTTATCTCTGATACTCCTTCCTCCTCAGCAGGAGGACTCCTCACACTCTTCCCCTGCTCCAGCATGGGAAGTAAAGATGGATAGCTCCCTCCATCCATGTATTCACTCTCTCTCTCTGTCTAGAGGTGCACGATTGAAGACCCAAGCAACACAGAATAAGGACAAACATATCTTTGCCCCCCTTCTTGCCACTGCCCAGTGCAAACTGTGAGTTTGTCTCACACTGTGCAGAGTTCCTGTAATTCTCTGGATTTTCTGGTTCCAACCTCCTCCCTCCCTCTCCAAGTCCTGCTTCTGCCCTGGTTCCTTTTGCTGACCTGTGAGATGGACAGTGGCAGGCAGCCACTTGCAGAAGTCATCTTTATAACCATGTATTTAGCTTTTCTAGACACTGTGTAACACTGCAGTTTCTAGAGGGATGGATGGAAACAGCCTAACAGTGCTATCACATTTAGAGCTACAGCTCTGCCCCAGCTGCAGTGTGCTGGTCATCCTGGCTTATGTGTCACCAGAGACAAAGGGCCAGGGAGCCTTGGCACACCACACCCCTTGCCTGAGCTCTGCCTCAGTGGATGCAGACTTGGGATTATAAATATTTTGCTTCTCCTGCAAATCTTGTCTTGCTTTTAAAGAATAAATAGGGTGATCATCCAAGGATTCACTCCTCAGAGCACCAAAGCTTAGGGTATTTCTAGGTGCTCTCCTGACCCCAGAGTTGGTCCTGGCCTTAACAACACTCAAAGCATCTCCAAATCCATATGCTTTGCAGAACAAGTGAGGGAACCAATTTGCCTGTGGCCTTGATGGTACCACAAAATCTTCCTGCTGACTGCCTTTTCATATGGTTCATAAATCTGGCAGTAAGTGGTCTCACAGCCTCCTGTCCCTCTCCTCTGCTGGAGCCAAATCAGGTCTCCCGTGATGAGCCTCAATTTTGTCAGGCAGATGAACCCATGGCTCTCACAGTAGTTGGCTTTGTGCATGCAGGAGCATTAGATTGAATGTTTCAATACCAGCCTCTCGGTTTTCATTTACTTAATAGTGTTTGTTACCTACCTTATTAAAGTAATTATCTGAATATTGCAGGGCATTGCATAAAGATCAGAAAACAGAAAGCAAGCTCTCAGCCAATCCCCTAAGCTCAGGAGAGCCCCTGCTCCCCATAACCCTTGCTGTACAGGATGTTTTGTTCCCCACTATTATGAATTATTGTAATAAGTGGTCTGAGGGCTCAGACTGAGGTACTTCAGGCTTCATCTGAAATAAAGTCAGTTCAATTGGCTTGATTCAAACAGAACTTGGAAGTCTGTGCCAGTGGAGGATGGCATAGTCTTTAAGAAAATAAGTCTGGCTGTCTCTAAAAGGGAAAAAAGAAATCTTTGAAAGCCATGGAGACAGTGACTAATTGCAGTATAATTGACAGAAATGAGATTCAGGTTTAAAATGGTAGTGGCTGTTCTCTATACTTATGCAGAAATAATTTATCTGTTTTCTAATTGTTCCCTGAATTGTTCTTGGGAAATGGATACTTTAGAATTGATCTCATATAACTTAAAAGCAAGAACCCTGGTGAAAAAAAGAATCAAAACCCACAAAACCCACATTAAAGGAAAAGTCTATGAGTAGTCAAAGGCCAGAGTGACATAGCACCTGCTATCATCTGGTGGAGCTGAACCAGGATGTGCACATTTCAAAGCCATAATCGTTCTGTACATGATGTCACTGAAATGCTATTAGGATAAAAATAGTGACATTGAAACTCCTGATTTACCACAACATTCACTTCAAGAAGACATTGGCTCTGTGAGATGGCACTGTCTCTGGGCTTATGCAGGTGTCTACTAAGGGAGTTGGCTAATTAGGATGAAGGACTGAAATTAGGAGCTCTCAAATAAAACTGTGCATTTCGCACTTGCCTGATGAATTGCAGAAGCAACTTTAAATCTTCTTATCAAGACCCAAGAGTGCTGTTTGAAAGCAGGGCTGATGCTGTGCCAGGTATGCCCTCTCTGGCTGGGCAACGGGCAGCTCCAGCAGGGCAGGGAGCTGATGAGATTTTGGGGCAGCATCCTCCTTGGGAGTGCTGCTACTGTGGGGCTTGTAGGGTGTGAGCTTGGTGGCAGGTGCTCAGCCACTCCAAGAACTCCCAAACAGGGATCCACAGGGCAGACAGTGACACTTATAGTCCCTTACAAGCCACCTGGGGTCTTCTGCTCTTCAGAGGAGATGGGCTCAAAGGAAGAATGGGCTCAAAGCCCTTCCGGGGTTAGGGTAGGAGTGACTGATTCAGTCCCTAATTCTCTTGGAACAAAGATCATCATCAGATCATCCCAGAGCAAGGTACAAAGACCAGAAGAACAAATACTTTGCTGCAGATAGCATTCTTTGGACACTGCCAGGTTCATCGTCAGGAAGCCTTTGTGCTGTTTTCTTCTCCTGCCTCTGTGCTGTGTGAGTGGGTGTGTCAGACTGCAAAAAGTGCAGAACATTTGTCCTTTCCTTTTGGAGGCCCTTTATCTGCCTTTTAAAAAATGGGGTGTTTTGTGTCATTCTGTTCCTGGAAACTCTGTGTTTAATCATCCCAATTATGCAAAAAAAGTTGGTTGTTTCTGGTGTGCCAAGTGCGTTCTGTGTGTTTCTGAGTTGATCAGCCTTTACCTATTACACCTCATTTTTTAAGTTACCTCTTTATAATGCCGAAGTTGAAAGGGTTGTGACACAGAGATTCAGAAGCTACCACTATGTTGATAAATAAAATGAACCTGTCCTGTTTCTCCTGAGGATGAGTGGCACAAACTGGCTCATGTCCACGTGCTAACCACAAACTCCTGCTTTAATGATTCATCTTACAGCACTGGGAACACTCAGATTCCTATTTCTTCCCAAGTATGAGGTCCAGCCTTTCACAGATGCACTGGCTACAGGTACTAGAGTTCAGCTCATCAGCTGCAGAATAGCATTTTAAGGAAATCTGAAAAATAGAAGGATTCAATTAATAACTGGCATCTGAAGGGAGGTAGTCTCCTGCTTCAGTTGGGAAGGGGTGTGGTGATATCTTCTTAAATCATTCTAGGCAAAACAATATTTAGACATGGCTTTTTCCTTTACTTTCTGCTTCATTACTGGAACTATAATACATCCATGGTGCACCTTGGCTTCACAATGTTTTTCGTGGATCCACACCTGGGTTTGTGCTATCCACTGCATCCCCAAAGATGTTATTTACCAACAGCAGGTTAGGGACTGATCCAAAGAAAACAGAAATTACTATTATTGCAACACTAATGTATAGGTCTTTAGGGGTTTTATTCAGTTGGGTTTTACTTGTTTGTTTGCTTTGTGTGGGGTTTTTTCTTGCACATTGTTGACTTGATTCACTGTTACCAGTTCTGAGGCACTCTGGAGCCCTGGCTCCCTGGTTTTCTGACAGCTGATGGAATGAAAGCAGAGGGTCACAGGCAATGTTAGCAGCCCTAAATAGGTGCTGGATTAAGTCCATCATAACAGATCTTTCTCATTTTTATAAAACCTGCATATCTGCATTTGTGCAGACTCCGGATGAGCAGCCTCTGCCCTCACCTGCTTTTTCTCTGGTAACTTCACTCAGCTGCAAGGAAAAGAGCCTCAACTCTCCAGGGGCACTGGCGTGAATCTGGGCTTGCAGGGACCGGCCACCAGATGACACTGTTATCCCTAAGAATGAACTAACATGGGAGCAAGGCCCTGAAATTACTCCTCAGAAACAGGGGGTGAAGGAGCCTCCTGCGTTCCGAGGAAAGCATGGGTGCCTGAGCATCTTCTGGATACATCTTCTGAGGAGGGAATGTCAAAAAAAAAAAAAAAAAAAAAAAAAAAAAAAGGAAAATTATTTACTTCAGTTCATTGCAGATAAACTGCAGACATTGCTGTGCTTTATTATATGCATTAGTTTTCATTTATTTGTAGGTGAACCTGGACCAAAGGATAGTAAATGTATTTTCAACAAGTGATGAGAATTACAAATTGATCCCCCTATTCCAGTTTATCCATCCACAGTCAATCCTGCTGATTCAGAAATGAAATTAGATAAGCAGTTTGATTTGCTAGTAGTGGTAAAACACTACAAATTTTTCAGCCTAAAAAGCTGTCATCATCCCTTTGAACTGCTGAAAATGTCACTGTAATTAAAAGTTATTCTTCTGTCAAGGTTTCTCTTTTATTTTTTTCCCCCCAGTTTTTCCACAGTGAGCAACATGTCTCATCTGTTTCCTGGAGTGAACTGACTTTCTCCCCTTATTAACCTTTCGGATGGAAAAGCCAAAGAGCCTCAACGTTCTCTTTGACACACTCTCTTCTCCACTGGCCTTTATCCTGCCCAAATCCCTTTGGAGCTGCATGGCTAGTACAGCTTTTCTTTTCTTCTGGATTTCAGGTGGCCCCTGAGACAAAAGCAGTCATGAAGTGGTTGAGGTCTATCCCGTTTGTGCTCTCTGCCAGCCTCCATGGGGGTGAGCTGGTTGTGACCTATCCTTATGACTATTCAAGGCATCCTATGGAAGAAAAAATGTTCTCCCCTACACCTGATGAGAAGGTAATATTGTTTTTGCAGTAAGAGCAAACTCCTGTGGTTTCCATGTGGAAATGTTTTCTTTTAACAAATAACAAACTTTGATTTATTTAGGTTGTGTAGGTGTGTCTCTCTGTATATGCATGTATGTGTTAAATAGGTAATAAATCACGTTTATATACGTAATACAAGTGTATATATAATATGAGATTAGCGTACATATAATATGAAATTAGCTCAGTTGGTTAGAATATGGTGCTAATAATGTCAAGATTTCAGGTTTCATCCTCATATGGCCCATTTTTTTAAGAGCTGGAGTTGATGAGATCGTGGGTTCCTTCCAACTCAGAATTTTATGAGATTCTGATTTATAGACTTACTTAATGTGCTTTAAAATATAGGATCATTTACACACTATCAGCATGGTCTGGAAAGATTTACCCATCTTTTGTGAAGCCAAATATGATTTCATAAAGCACAGACTAGGAAAATCCAGGCTTTTAATTTTTAAGGGGACTAGGCTGTGATATTTTTACCAGTGATTTCCAGAAGAAAAGGAACAAGCCTGACCAACAGTATTATTTTCTGCTGAAATCTGTAGAGGGGAAAAAAACAAGACTGGCTACCATATGGTGGCAGCCTTGCAACATTTATTCCAGGTCAGTTGAACTGGAAAGGTTTCTCCCTCTTGTCCCTGGAAAGCTCCCCATTTGGGACACACTGTAAATCTTCTGTGAAATTTTTTGCCATCTTTCCTATTTCCCTTTGGTTTCCTCAATCTAGTATTCATTGCCTACATGCCCACTAGGAGAACAGCTAGATTATCAGCCTTCTAGAGTATGCTAAAAATGTCCCTGGCCCCCTAAGAAAAGTGGTTCTTTATATAACGAACAGCAGTTGAAAAACGTCAGAAGTTGATCTTTGACTTGAAGCATTCGTTATCTTTGAGCATATCTCTGGTCTGACTTCTAAAACAACAGTTCTCACTACCACATGTTAAATATTTAATAATAAATTAATAAATGCTAAACATTTGTATAGCAATCCATTTCTTCTGAGCTTTACAATACCTACTTACTATGCACATATGAAAATGACTTAGCAGTAAAATTAACCAGGCACTCCACAGTAAAAAGCCTATGTAAGAAATATCTGGTGGATGCTAATGAAAGCTACAGAAGCTCTTGATGAGGACTAGGGGAAATCATAAACATGTTCATTTATATCCCATTGCCTGGGCTAGGGTTATCCTTGTTTAAGAATACATGGTGAAGGAATATGGCCATGTGTGCCTTATAATGCAGTTCACCTGTGGAATGGAAGGACAGCAGTCCCTCTATCATCTCCACTCAGGGACAGCATGTGTATTTTGAGTGAAGTGGTACAGTCACACAGACAAAGGGCTCCATCTCAGAGCAGTGCACTGCTGGACAAGCCCTGAAGGATCCCTGGTTTGCAACACTGTTAAGACAGGGAGCCTTATACTGGTGACTGCTGCATAGTCAGTGGCTACAAAGTCTGGGAAGTTGGCTGCAAATGTGGAAGTTTAAAATATACGTGGCAGGGGGATAGGGGTGTGCTCAATGAAACCAAATTTTTCAAATGACTCAGCACAGGAACCTTAAGAGCATTATCAGTATCACTTCAAGTTTTGCACAGAAAGTTACAAAACCTGTGTCTGTGAAGTGACTTGCATTTAAGCAACGTCATCTGTAGATGCTGCTGGCAGAGAACCTCCATCCCAAAATAAAGCAGTTTGGTTTAGCTGCCATACATTAACCATAACCTTTTTCCTGACTGCTGACCTTTCCCATTTGCTGTGCAAGAGGAAACTTTCAGCCCAGGGTGAAATGCTGCAGTGCAGATAATGGCCAAACATTAAAAAGTCAAATTCTGACAAATATATTCAAACCAGGTTGCCCTGTTTGAAAATCTATGTGGGTGCTGCCGCCTCCCCCCACTCTGTCATGGTGTGTGTGGTAGCACAAGGATCCTCTTGGCACTTGCTCCAAGTCACAGCAGATTTCAAGCCTCTTTATCCTGTATCACAGCCTGGGCTGGTACCTGCTGAGACCAAGGAGTCTCGAAGCTGAACCATGTCCTTACACTCACATTCTTTCATCTGGTTCAGCCTACCTATTCAAAACTTTCCCATGTTTTGACTTCTGGGGAGGCAGATGTTTTTAGCAGGCACTCACTTTGTGTTACACAAGAAGTTCCATCGATGCTTCTGCTCACCAGAGCAGAAAGGTCCACAACAAGTCCACTCCTTTTGGTGAGTTGAAACACTCCCTTTCATTCCCCTGAAAACCCCAACCTGAGACAATTAGTGGGGTAAAAGTGCTGACCAAGGTAACAGCACTGACCTCATTTTATGAAATAAAGCATCATGCTACCAAAGACACAAGGATTCCTCTGTGTTTTTTCCCATTTTGTTCCACAGTATTACACCTAAACATCTAAGTTTTTTTTGAGGTCCATGATTAGTGATACATTAACTGCTAAGTAATAACAAATGTATTGTTATCCAGGAACTTTTAATTTCTTTCAAAAAAAAGTGTAATTTTTTTTTTTAAACCTATATAACTTGCTTTTGGAATTCTCACTTTCTCTTCTCACTACCACTTGTCTTCGTTCACTTACACTAGTGACCAGGTAAAAGCCTTATACCCCTTGCTGTGAAACAAGAGAAGACTTGGTCACTGAAAATAGCACATCTGCAGATGCCATTGTAAAAGCTGAGGAACATACTCCTAAGTCACATTGGCACATTCAAAATTTTAGCAAATACCTTTCACGGGATGTTCAGAAGTAGTACCCAAATTGGCAGTAGAAATTGAAGATATTGAGTCTGGCACTGAACTATTGGCAGTAAAAGTTCTGCTTAATTTAATTAACATCCGCTTCTTTTCAGCAGAACTTTGAAGGATACTTAATTTTCTTTGCTGGACAATACTTAGACACATAGAAACTCAAGGGAGCTGCAGAAATGTTTTATATTAAGTCAGAATTTTTAGTGTCTGGTTATCAGAAGTATTTTGGTAAATTGTCTTCGCACTTATATTACACTCTCTTTCCACCTTTCCCTGGTAACCTGTCTGATCCCATAATTGACTCAGCTTCGTGATTATTAAAAACAACCATAAATATTAATCAATGTTGTGTGATTGGTCATTTTGACATCAAGGATAAAGTTTTAGGATTACTTCTAAAACTAATATTTTAGTCACCCAATTCCTTGCACACATTGTCTTAAGCAATATGCAATGAAACCCTTGATGATGAATAGTAGGATCAAATAGCATCTGATAACTGCTGTAATTTCAATCTTGAACTCTGAAAGCATAGCCTTTGCAGATGAAGTTCAAATAAACAAAAATGAGAGGGGGTATTTTTGTACAAAGTTGGAATAAATACTGGAAAAGAAGGGCAGGAACATGATTCAAATAAAGGGTTTCTGTAGATCACTGCTATTTCTTCTGCCGCTGTCACTGTTTCTTTCTGTGTAGTGACTGTTCTCCTCTTCATCAATATCAACACTCTTAGGAAATCAGTGGTGACATCCTACATCACCACATCCTTTCATTCACTTTTTGGGAATGGTTTCTGCCCCACAAAGAAGCAACTGTCATTGAGATCAAACCGTCAGGTTTGCCTGTGTGAGTGATAAGTGCAAAGCAAATTGACACTGTCTATTTTAAACAGCAGCAGTCAGTGTGAAAATCTAGTTGGACTGAAGGTGATATAAGTATTTTTTAAAGGGTAAAAATAGCAAAAGATAAAATGCAACCCAAAGGAGGTCTACCAGAAAGACGGAGAGGGACTTTTTTATGAGGGCAGGTAGTGATAGGACAAAGGGGAATGGCTTTAAACTGAAAGAGGGTAGATTTAGATTACATATAAGGAAGAAATTTTTCACTGTGAGAGTGGTGAGACACTGGAACAGGTTTCCTAGAAAAATTGTGGATACCCCACCCCTGGAACTGTTCAAGGCCAGTTTGGATGTGGATTTGAGCAACCTGATCTAGTGGGAGGTGTCCCTTCCCATGGCAAGGGGGTCAGAACAAGATGATCTTTAATGACTTTTCTAACCCAATCCATTCTAGGATTCTACAATAACAGGGAGAGATAATTTCAACTTTAAAATCTGGGACCTGAAGCACAACCAATCAAGCCTTCTGCTCCTGTCCCAGATGATAGATAGAAGCCAAGTATCACAAAATCCACTGGTAATCAAAATGTTGTCTCTGGCTAAATATATTGGATTGCAGAGAAGGACCTTAGAGAAGAAGACAAATGAAAACTTCCTAGCAAAAAATGAAAACTTCCTTGCACAGCAGTTCATTGCTTCCTTCAGTCTCAAGGGGGCTCAGTGTCTGGGTGGGTGGCTCATTGTCTGGGCTTGCAACAGCAGTAGTTACTAGCAGCAATGACAATGTTTAGAGTTTGTAAAAGCAAATGTATTTCAAAACTGTTTGTTACAGGTATTCAAAATGCTGGCTAAAGCCTATGCAGATGCACACCCCGTCATCTCGGACCAATCGGAACTACGTTGTGGTGGAAACTTTGTAAAACGTGGAGGTATCATAAATGGTGCTGAGTGGTACAGCTTCACTGGAGGTAAAACCACTTTACTGCCATATCAAGTGAGGTAAAACCTCTATGTGACCTTTATAAGACACAAGGGTTTGAACAAAGTAATTTTATTCATTTCAATTTGCTTAAGGTCATACACATGCAAAACGTAGCTTGTAGGGGATTTAAGTAGCAAAATGTATGTGGGTAACATTTGTATTCAGATGACATGGGATGTATTCAGCCCCACTGTGACTTGAGGAAAGTTAATAACTTATGCTTTAGTATAATATAATTTTGTTTTTCAAATCTGAAATGTAGAAATAAATGCTTAATGCTGTGCTCTTATTCCTTAGCAGCACGAGTTTGAATCCATTTTGCAAGTGCTGATTTTTCAATCTGTTTAAATAATTCTTTTTTCAGGGAAAATTACAAACATCCCATTCATTTGTGCTTTTGTTGTTAGTTTGATTTCTCCAATAATAGTATTGTGTTTTCTTTAGGATTCCTGCAATACTGGCATGGACGAAATATCAGTGTTCATAAATTTTCAGCAGTGGTTCAGTTGTGTTTTCAAATAGGACTCAGCTTGATCCTCAAATAATTATGTTGAAACTAGGCATTGAGAATGCTTTGGGGCATGGGTGAGAATTAGGTTTAAGTATCTTTGGCTTACATTCTTCTCAAAATTATATCCAATGTCTTTTGTACAGAAACAGTTTTGAACATAATAATGGCAAAAGGTCATTTCTGTTCTGGTGACCCTTGGCAATCACCTCTGATACAGCCGATTATCCAATTACCATGATTAACCAATCCTCATCGCTCTACCACTACTTCTTGGTCAGGAGAATAATAATCTAAAATTATGCTTTTTTGCCTCAAAGAAGTGTCATTGTCATTAGTTAATTCGTAGTTGAAACAAGTTGTTGAATTCTGATTTTGTTGAATACTTTTTATATACTAGCATATATTCTTTGCAATATAATAATCTACACCCACTGGGATGGCATTCAGCTGATTGCAGCAGGAAAGCTGCAGTTAAAGGCTACATTGCTTGTTCATGAGCTCATCTTTTTCTTTTTAAACCTGTAGGTATGGCAGATTTTAATTACCTTCACACAAATTGCTTTGAAGTTACCGTGGAGGTAGGATGCGAAAAGTTTCCTTTGGAGGAAGAACTATTTACAATCTGGCATGAAAACAAAGGTGCCCTTCTGAATTACATGGAAATGGTATGGCTCTGCTTTTACAGACCTTTGTGTTCACAGTTTAACTTTTTCATTGTCAGTATTAGGTTTTTTACTGTTCCCCTAGTTAGTTGTCAAGATAGGGCTGAATCAATCATGACACTCCACTGGGGTTCTCAGTGCCTCAGTCTGTGTAGCAGTACCCACAGGCAGAAAATATTCTGCCTGTACTGCAGGAAAAGGTTGAGATTGAGGACTGTAAAGGCCTTGAAAACACTGAGAAAGGGAATTATCTGTGAATACTTTGGGCAATATTATACATCATGTGTCCAAAATTTAACACTAAAGAAAACCCACATATTCAGAAAAGTATGAATCAACCTTTCTCTTGAAGATTAAAGCAACAAGATCAGCTCTCCAGAGACCTTCCTGAAACTTTTTCCTTTCCTCATTCTGTGTTTGTGTCCCAAATCCTACCGTCCCAAAGCAAGATTTAGATTAAGCTAAAATCTTGCTAGAAATGCCATTTACACACTTTCCATCTTGATTTCTTTATGGAAGTAGTTTTTAAAGATCTGAAGCCAAATGTTCCAAAGGAACAACTGTGTGTCTCTGAGCATTAAAATGCCATTTAAAAGTAATTTTCAATAATAAGTTTAAGCTCAGCAAAAACAAATATCTCACTGACAATAAGTAAGTGAGCACAGAAACAGAAGTTGCTCATCTTTCTCTCAACCATTAGTAGATTAGCTTTCTGTCATGCCTTATTTTGATGGAGTATGCAGTAATTTAAAATTGTTAGGAGTGTTTTTATGGCCTTTCTGAGCAACCTCTTGCTACTTGTGGTAAGTATTATCATTCAATAAAGTCTACAGTACAGACCACCAAACTCATTTCGTTTTACAGCTGTCTGATGAAAATGAGTTTTAGTGAATCCAAATGGAGCTGGGTTAAATCCATATATATTGCAATTGAAGTCTTCAAGATGTAAAGATTTTATAGTGCGAGATACTGTAGAAGTCTGTGCTGGAAAAGCTTTTTGAGTAAATGCAGGACAGTAAGCAAAACTACTTTGTAGATAAGGATGACTGAATTACTCCCGATAAGGATTAAGTCTGCCATAACCAATTCAAACTTTTCTTATTCTGATATGTACCAGGCTGTTTGGTGTGTGTACAAGTCCACTTGGTTTAACGCACAGAAGCAGAATTCATTTTCCTAAATGCCTATCCCTTCTCCCCATGAGAATTAATATCAAAACACTCTCCCAAACTCATATGGCACGGAGTTGAGGAAAAATGAAAAATAGTTCATTTACTAAAGGAAACCAAAACAACATTGTTAAAGAAATTTCAGTTTTGTCATTTTTATCCTGTTATGTTGCAATTGCAAAATTATTATTGAAGTTGAATGAGGTCATACTTGTTTGAGTATGTCTACACTGCAAATTAAATTTGGGTCCAAGATGACTCTTCTGACCAGATTTATCCACTATCCATAAGATAAATCCTCAAGCCCATGTTGAAAAACAAATTGCAGTGCTTCATCATAAGGGCCAGTTTTCAAGTCCTTATACTGAGCTGTTCCTAAATCTTCCTGTGAATAGCTCCACTCAGTACAGAATGGCCTTTTAACAAGAGCAGTGACAACACAGTCTCATCTTAAATAAAAAACTGCTGTCACTAGACCAGACATCTTATTTTCCGCTTTTTATTATGAATTTCTGTAAAGTTGGATATTTTAATGTTTATTTTTAAATGTCTTTATACTCCAACAGAAAAGCAAATATATTTTTCCCATTGTTTTGATGCTTTGTGCTTTTTTTTCTATTCTTTTGTGACAAAGGATACTGGGGAGGGGAAAATGAGAGGAAAATAAGAAGGTGGGAAAGTGAAGTAAAGAACAGCTCAAGCTGATCATAACAGTTCAGACAAAAAATCAAAATGGAATTATTTTTCACTTAAAAAGACCATATAGACTTCCCAATATAAAATACTGTAGTGGGTTGACCCTGGCCAGATACCAAGTACCCACTAAAGCCACTCACTCTCTTCCTCTGCAACTAGACAGAGGAGACAGAAAAAAAACCAGCTAAGAATTCATGAGTAGAGATAAGAGCTGGGAGAGGTCAGTGACTGATTACCTTCACGGGCAAAACAAGACTCAAAGTCGGGATAATACTTGTATTTATTACTAACAGGATAAGAGCCAAAGAGTGAGAAATAAAAGAATCTTAAAAACACCTTTCCCCCACCCCTCCTTCCTTCCATGTTCTCCCTCTTCCCCCCCCAGCAGTGCAGGGGGACAGGGAATGGGGGCTATGGTCAGTTGTTCTTTCTGCCACTGCTCAGGGAGAGGAGTTGGAGCCCTTCCCCTGCTCCCGTGGGGTCCCTCCCATGGGAGACAGTCCCTGACGGACCTCTCCGGTGTGAGTCCATCCCTCGGGCAGCAGTTCTTCCCCAAGTGCTGTCCCTTGGGTCACTCCTCCCTGGGGTGCAGCCCTTCATGAATGAGCTGTACTGACGTGGGTCCCCCACAGGGGCCATAAGTCCTACCCAGGAAAAACCTACTCCAGCGGGGGCTTCCTTCTCCATGGGCTACAGGTCTCCAGCAGGACATCCCACCATCCTGGGCCTCCCACGGGGTCACAGCCTCCTTCATGCATCCACCTGCTCCAGCATGGGCTCCTCCATGGGCTGCAGGTGGGTCTCTGTACCCCGATGGTCCCCCATGGGCTGCAGGGGCACAGCTGCTCCACCACAGTCTGCACCACGGGCTGCAGGGCCTCAGCTCCGGTGCCTGGAGCATCTCCTGACCCTCCTTTTGCACTGACCTTGGTGTCTAGGTTGTTATTTCCATGTTCTCACTCCACTCTTCCCTGGCTGGAATTTGTTCTGTGCAACAATCTTTTGGTTTTAAATATGTTGTCTTGGAGGTGTTACTGTTGCTCCTAATTGGCTCAGCCTTGGCCAGCGGTAGGAAGCCTGTCCTGGAGCTGTCTGGCGTTGGCTCCACAGGACAGGAGAAACTTCTAACAGAAGCCACCCCTGTAACCACCCCCCGCTACCAAAACCCAGCCACAGAAACCCACGACAAATATTTTCATTTTGGAACATTGTAAAAAGAGAACCATAAGAGGTTTAGTTTTTAAATACTTGGATTTTTTGTTTTGTTTTGTTTTATTTTATTGAGTTTCAAATACAGTGAGCTTTTTGTGCACCTCCTTGTATGACAGAATTCACATTGCTCTTCAGATTGTCACCAAGCACATTTCTCAACAGCTTGAGCAGTTCAGTTCTGTGCTTGTAGAGAAGGTGAAAGGATATCATACGCTGCTGTCATGACATTCCGACAGGTAGTGAAGCGTAGGCAGCAGAGCGATGATGAGTCCCAAGCACCTAAAGTGATGCCTTCTCATTGTGTACAGTGCCTCAGATTGGTTTTTAAAGCCTTAACTTTTCGTTTCTTTCTGGTTCTGGGTCTAGGGCAGACATTCAGAAGCAGTCTTTACATACCGTGGTCGGATCATGAGGTGCCAGTGATTTGTGCACAGAAGGGTCTCTCAATGCAGAGCCACATTCCTCACCCGAAAAAAAGCTCTGACTCCATTATCCCTTTCTCATAGCCCCCCTGTAGCTCCCTAAATAGGGAATGTCATCTGAAGGGGTATTAGCACCTGAGACCTTCTATAACAGGTTGAACCTTTTGACAGTTTCCTCTCTGCAGGGGTTTTCTTGTAGAAGCTGAGGAAGTGGTACTGTAATAAGTGACTGCCATCTAACTTTGCTTTGCTTTACCAGGTTCATCGGGGCATAAAAGGAATTGTGTCTGATAAGTTTGGCAACCCAATAAAAAATGCTCGTATTTCAGTCAGGGGCATTCAACATGATGTCACCACAGGTAATATTTTCAGTCTAAGATCTTTTCTGGGACAGAGGGAAAGTACCGAGAGCTGAATCTGCAAAAGTCTTGTCATATTTGATAGAAATGGCACCTTAACAGAGAACTGAAGGCTCAGCTGTGTCTTTGCTTCTAGAATAACAAGAAAGAAGACATGTCAAGCTGGCTGTTGAGTTTGACATGTCTCTGGCATGACAGAGTTCTTGCCGTGAAAAATTTTACCTGGAGTTGTCTGCTGTCCACCAAAGCCAATGTTTGGGGAAATAGGGCAATAGCTCTGCTCAGGGGCTGTAATCAGCGTGGAGCACTGATGGAATAAGTTAACTGAGATATTGTGAGCATGTTGTAGGTAGTAGATTAGGATCTACTCTGACTTCAACAACTAGAATAATTGCAGTAATTGAAAGGTCTGCAACCTTTGTTATTCACGTGGAAATGTATAAACACATGCAATTTTTGTACAATAGTTATACCAAATGCAAAAAAACTGGAACATTGAATTATTATACCTACCACCAACTGGTAAACATGTACTGAGGGGCATGTAACTGCTAATTTTCACAGTCATAAAGTTCTGAGCTTTTAGGCTGTCATCGAAATCAATGCTCTGTTTTTATTATTGATTTCGGTGAGAACAGGGTAGGCCATAGGAGTGCAAAACAGAAGACATGAATGGTAACATTTTGCTCTAATGGCAGTTGCTGAATCAATTTGGAAAGCCAGAATGGCTTATAATGTAATGGATGCTTTCCAGCTTCCAAAAAACTAGCATTAGAGGGGATACAATAGTGGAGATGATGCAGATCGTTTTGGTTGGTGGGAGACTCTGGCATGAATTAGGGTCTTTTTCAAACTTCTTCCTAGACAATGGTTTCTCATTGGCAGTGAACTTTTAAAGGATTAAGAATTAAATAAAAATGTGTTTATATTGAAGGAAAGAGGAGTATTTGTTCTTTAGTTAGATGGGGTTAAGAATGTTATATGATTAAAAAGTTTTTGATTTCAGTGTTAAAAAAAAGAAATTCCACAAGAAAATAGCATTAACGTAACATTTACTTAGCTAAGAGACTTACTATTCAAAATAAAGGAAATATAAAATAAAGAATAATTTTTTCTGTTTTAAAATTCCCTGATTTTTCCTGCAGGCTCTAACCTTCAGCTGGAGGAAATTTACACCCATTTTACACTAATGGCAATTTATACCAGCTGCAGCTCTGACTCCATAGTCTTATGTGCTAGAATGTCTGCAAAGTAATTGAATGTAATTTAATAAAAGCAGGGATTTCTTAGCTCCTTAGACATACTAAATATATATATTGCAGCCTGGATTCTGATTTCACTTTCTTAAGTTTCACATAGCTTTAAATTAATTTCTCTGGGAGTTATTCTCTGTACCCTTGGGAAAGCAGAACGAAGCAAAGTTTCTTTTCCCTGTGATACAGGAACAGCAGTTGCTGACATTTTGTATGTGAATTTTACTCCATTAGCTCCCAAAGGCCAAGTTTTCACAGGCAAAGTCTCTTTTTGTCATCTACAGTTTGCATTCAAACATTTTTCAGAGCGTGAGATCCTTTCACAGCCTGCCCCCTAAATGCTTGAGCTATCTGTGTGCGCACGGGTATGTGACTGCGTAACTTTAAAGGGTGCGAGACTAAAAATCAAGTTTTATTGTGCTTTTACCTTTCCTAAGCTGCTGATGGAGACTACTGGCGACTCCTGCCTCCAGGGACATACATAATCAGCGCCCAAGCACCGGGATACAGCCGGGTGATGAAGAGGGTCACCATTCCTGCCAAGATGAAACAGGCTGGGCGAGTGGATTTTGTGTTGCGACCTGCCGAGGCCTGGCCCAACAAGCTCCTCCGCCGCTCCATGGAAAACACGTACGACCCGTACGACCCACTGGAACTTTTTGACCCTCATGCCCAACACAGGCAGCCCGAGGCCCGAGGTGGGTCGTCACCAGGCAGGGAGAAGCCCTGGTGGTGGTCTTACTTCAGCTCTCTAGACCTGCACAAACCTCTGTGGCTGCTCAAGCAGCGCTGAAGGGCATCACAGTGCTCTGCTCAGCTCCCTCTGCTGCCCTTCCGCCGGGTTCCAGACACCCTCACTGCTCTTGGCAATATTTAAATGTTTCATTTGAAAATACAATGTTAATTCAAGCGCGCTTACTTCTTTTGTTTTCTCTTCACACACAACTGAGCATATTCAAGTGGGTTCTTTGTATATTAAAAAAAAATGGTGCACATACAATCAAAGGCCAGATTTTATGCAGTTTTTTTCTTGGTAATGCTCTGTACTTCTGCCCATGTAGTTAATCATCACATCCATTATTTATTAGGTCCTAAGTACCTGCAGGAAAATATTCCTGATCCTTTAATGCATTTTTGTACACATTTTAATGCATTAATGATTATATACTAAAAACAACTTGCAGAAACATTCAGAAAACTCTTTTCTCTTTTTTATATTAGCATATTAATTTCAGTTCATTACTTCTTCTAATATCAGCTAAAAATCTTGGGAGGTTTTTTAATTTTTAAAAGGTTTTTTTAATTTAAAAATAGGTTTTTAATGTATTTCAGCAAAATACTGAAAAATGTCTTTACTGCTGGAAATAAATCCTATGACATAGAAAAACACATGAGATAATTTGTGAGGAATTTAGGTTAAAGTGTGCCATATTACACTAAGGTTGTTAACATCACGCATTATTCTGAGCCAATGTACTTGTTAATGGAACTTGTAGGCATCAAACAAAACACAAACTTCTTTTCAAGGTAGTTGGGTAAAACCTCAGTGAATAGCGATCTTGCAAGATGTTGTTCTCTCTCAAATATTACATGCAATTTATTTTTTAGGGTCATTTAAAAAAAAAGTCCCTAATTTTGATGAAACACATAGACCCACACTTCCTTTTGGCTTGAAGGGTTAATGAACTCTGTATATGGACCGTATGTCCCCATCTAAATACCACAGGGTGTGAATTGGGTGATTGTAGGAGCTGATGTACTTTCTGCAGGAGCTGCTGGATGACCTGTGTGGATTGCCCTTCAATTTGTGAAAACTTTTTTGCTCGTCTTAGGTAAAGCAGCCCACATTGCAAGAACCCCATAATCCATGTGCACATATCATACTAAAATTGCCTAAGAAGACCCAAGAGATGAATGATCTTAATTCTGCAACCAGATGCTGCACATGGCTAAGTACCTTATTCCCAGTTGTAATCTGATTGAAGTTAGGAGACTGTTATTCATGTACTTGAATGTCTGCAGGACTGGAGACTATGTTAAAATGAAAGAAAATGATTTCATAGCATTAACAAGTATTTATAATGTAATTATGTGGGAGTGAATGTACTGCATGCACATGGATAAGTGTTCCTTGCCCAGGCTTGCCAAGTTAAAGGAACTCTGGACCCTAAATACGCCAAGGAAAATTGAGCAAGAGATAGACTTCCGGAGTTTATTTCCAGTAATAGGTACTACTACTGTTTTCTGTGGTCTTTTTTTTGGGGGGGGGGGGGTCAGAGAGAAAAGAAAAGTAAAGAGAAAAGTAAAGAGAAAAGAAAAGAATAAAAAAGAATAGAAAAGAATAATAAAGAGAAAAAAGAGAAAACAATAAAAAAGAAAACAATAAAAAAGAGAAGAAACAATAAAAAAGAGAAAAAACAATAAAAAAGAGAAAAAAGAAAACAATAAAAAAGAGAACAATAAAAAAGAGAAAACAATAAAAAAGAGAACAATAAAAAAGAGAAAACAATAAAAAAGAGAACAATAAAAAAGAGAAAACAATAAAAAAGAGAAAAGAAAACAATAAAAAGAGAACAATAAAAAAGAGAAAACAATAAAAAAGAGAACAATAAAAAAGAGAACAATAAAAAAGAGAAAAACAATAAAAAAGAGAAAAAGAAAACAATAAAAAAGAGAACAATAAAAAAGAGAAAACAATAAAAAAGAGAACAATAAAAAAGAGAAAACAGAAAACAATAAAAAAGAGAAAAACCAATAAAAAAGAGAAAAAAGAGAACAGTAAAAAAGAGAACAATAAAAAAGAGAAAAAAGAGAACAGTAAAAAGAGAACAATAAAAAAGAGAAAAAAAGAGAAAACAATAAAAAAGAGAAATAAGAAAACAATAAAAAAAGAAAACAATAAAGGGAGAAAAAAAGAAAACAATAAAAAAGAAAACGATAAAAAAAGAGAAAACAATAAAAAAGAAAAAAGAAAACAATAAAAAGAGAACAATAAAAAAGAGAAAACAATAAAAAGAAAACAATAAAAAAGAGAAAAACCAATAAAAAAAAGAAAAAGAGAACAATAAAAAGAAAACAATAAAAAAGAGAAAAAAGAGGAAACAATAAAAAAGAGAAATAAGAAAACAATAAAAAAAGAAAACAATAAAGGGAGAAAAAAGAGAAAACAATAAAAAAGAAAACGATAAAAAAAGAGAAAACAATAAAAAAGAAAAAAGAGAAAAAACAATAAAAAGGAGAAAAAACAATAAAAAGAGAAAAAACAATAAAAAAGAGAAAAAAGAGAACAATAAAAAAGAGAAAAGGGAAAACAATAAAAAAAGAAAACAATAAAAAGAGAAAAAACAAAACAATAAATAGTGGAAAAAACAAAACAATAAAAAAGAAAACAATAAAAAAGAAAAAGAAAACAATAAGAAAGAGAAAAAAGAGAAAACAATAAAAAAGAAAACAATAAGAAAGAGAAAAAACAATAAAAAAGAGAAAAAAGGAACAATAAAAAAGAAAACAATAAAAAACAAAACAATAAAAAAGAGGAAAACAATAAAAAGAGAACAAAGAGAAAACAATAAAAAGAGAAAAAAGAAAACAATAAAAAAGAGAAAAAGAGAACATTAAAAAAGAGAAAAAACAATAAAAAAGTGAAAAAAGAAAACAATAAAAAAGAAAACAATAAAACAATAAAAAAGAGAAAAAGAGAACAATAAAAAACAAAACAATGAAATAGAGAAGAAAAGAAAACAATAAAAAAGAAAACAATAAAAAGAAAACAATAAAAAAGAGAAAAAAGAAAACAATCGAAAAGGAAACAATAAAAAAGAGAAAAAGAAAATGATAAAAAAGAGAAAAAAGAAAACAATGAAATAGAGAAAAAAGAAAACAATAAAATAGAGAAAAAAGAAAACAATAAAAAAAGAAAACAATAGAAAAAGAGAAAAAGAAAACAATAGAAAAGAGGAAAAAGATAAAAATTAAAAGAGAAAAAGAAAAGAAAAGAAAAGAAAAGAAAAGAAAAGAAAAGAAAAGAAAAGAAAAGAAAAGAAAAGAAAAGAAAAGAAAAGAAAAGAAAAGAAAAGAAAAGAAAAGAAAAGAAAAGAAAAGAAAAGAAAAGAAAAGAAAAGAAAAGAAAAGAAAAGAAAAGAAAAGAAAAGAAAAGAAAAGAAAGAAATGAAAAATTGTCAAAACAAGACAAATGACATTGCAACCAAAATTAGTATCGCCTTTCCTTTTTTTTTTTTGAGATTAATATAGACTTAGTTCTATATATATCTGGGAGAGAAAGTAATAGCTTGGATTTGCATCCTGAACTGGATTACATAATCTTCTTCAGTATTTATTTAAATCAAGCAATGTGTGTTTAATATCAGATAGTTTTGTTTAAAAAAAAAAAAAGAAAAAAATAGATACAACCCACAGCAACCCACCCCACAACTATAAGATGGTTGAAAGGATTGTAAGTGGTGATAAAATTTAAGCAGCTGTGGGCAGCACTATAATTAATACATGAAAATTAACACAGTGATGAGCTCTTTTATACACCTCTCTGGAAGATGCTTATGTGCAGAGTTCAATGGAACATAAAGTTAGGAGCATATTAAATACTTTCTGAATAGGAAGAGGGATTAAAATGCTTCAGTGGAACATGCCCTCCTACAGCTGAAGTAATAGAGGAAAGAAGTGAGAAGTAACCAAAATTCTCTGGCAGACTCCATCGTGCTTAAACCCTGCCTTAGAGACTGGGCTTGGCCTTTTTCCAGTGCTACTTTGGATCGTGACAGGTTCAGCAGCCAGACATTGCCATCAGAAATTATAGTGTGTGTTCATCAGACTCTCCTTTTAAGTCAGTCTACATAATTTTTTTCAATTACCTTCCAACCACATATTGAACCGTATTGATGTATGTTTTTGCAACATCCTCCTTAATAATTTATTTCCCAGTCTCCACATTTGTTTCAGAGGGATCTTCTCTACCATGGAGCCAAACTTCTGCACAATCACACTAATAGATGTTCTGACCTGCCAACTGTCCAGACCTCATTGCTCTGCCAGCAATGAATCTTCCCAACAAGTCAAAGCATGCAAATCTAACTAGCAGCACTACAAAGAGCAAAGAGAAAGCTCTCCTTGAGTCATACGTGCAATTTCTCTTTCATTCATTTGGCAGAAAAAAGCCAAGAACACACAGAACAAATATCAGCAGTTAAATCACAGACTCTGTGCATGAGTCATACAAAAGAAGATTTGAGTCTGTTTGTTCCATTCATAAAAAATTTTTAGATCAAAAATAGCAATAATAAACAAAGGCATAAAGGTTTGCAACCATTGACATCTTTATCTCCTGTAACAAGATGATATTCCAGTCTTGGGCCACACACATATAGGAAGGAACATCTTTGTTTTCCTAAAGACAAAAGAAAATAAAAGAAAGGTGTTTGCTGAAAACAAAATTTTAAGTGTCAAAATCCCTGGCTAATAGAAGTTCTTCCTGCTATCACTTTTCACAGTATTTATGTAGTTTTTCTCCTTTTTATGCCTCAGTTTAGCAGCTAAAGGGACGTACTCCAAAACAATATTGAAGTCTGTTTCGAAGTCCTGTGAACCAGCTGTCGAACAGTTTGCCAAGCCAGTGCCATTTCTTTGTGACCATCACTCTAGTTCTGCACTGCAATTCAAAAACAAGCCAGAAATGTCTTTAGCAGTTACAAAAGCAGCCATCAAAGTGAGACAAGCCTGTACATCTCCGTGGTGATGCCTGCAGACAGACTGGGAGATGTCTGTGATGGGTGGGCATTCCCCCTGCAGCAGTGAAGCACT